ATAGACGATTAGGTACTGGGCTTGATACGCTGACAAACGTTGTCAAAGGCCTTGAGTTCTTCAGTCATTCCGTACAGGCAGCGACGTCTGTGGGAAGATGTGATGTTGTGCATTGAATAGCTGCTAAAGCTAGACGTCTCGCTAGTGTCAGCAGGATTGCTTTCGCGCGAGCGAGAGGTATTCATTCTCCGCCTACTTGACGAAGACGGTCTTCGCCTAGAGCGCTTCAAAATGAAACTAGCCAGAATATCCTGCTTGCTGTCTGGTAATTCAACTCCAACACCTCACCGAACTTCTGCCAGGAATTAGCCTTCGATTTGGCCACTGCTTTCGTTGCAGCTTTGCGCCCTTCTTCGCACAACAAAAAGCCTTCAGCTCGCAGGCAGTACGAAGAAGCGCCCAATGCGGCAGCGACAGCGGTGGCCAAAGTGAAGGCTGATTTCTGGGAAAAGTTCAATGGAATGTTGAAGTCGAACTTCCAGACGGCAAACAGAGTATTCTGGCAGACCATCTGCCGCTTCCGAGATGGAAAAAAAGGGTAGGCGCAGAGTTCTGAAGGACGAGTACGGACACCCTCTTACATAGGATGAGACACTTTGGCGGCGCAAGAGTACTTTGAAGAACTTCTTAACTCTGAGCAGCCGCAGGATAACTCGCCTGAAGAACAGCAGGGAACGCGTATTAATATTTGCGTACATGAATTCACGCAACCTGTAAAAACCTTGAAAATTAGCAAAGCTTTTGGTATCTATGAAATCCTCTCTAAAATGTTTACAGCACAAAACGAACAAGGCACGTTCCAGCTTACATGTGTCGATGAAACTGCAATGGCCACGGAGATGCCAGCGGACTGGAGAAAGGAGTTTGTGGCACTCCAGCTTAAGAATGGAGACCAGAGAAAGTGCTCAAATTTTTAGGGCATTAGGCATTGCCTCATTGAACCTCCCGTGAAACCAGGCTGTTAGAAACGAAGTGCCGGGGAATAACAAACTCTAAGATAAAAGGAGTGCCTCCGACCAGATCTTCGCCTTATGCCAGATTGTTGAAAAATCATGGGAGTTCGTTCATCCGCTTAACATGTGCCTTGTTGACCTTGAGAAAGCCTATGATCGTATCCAGCGCTACAATCTATGGGCGTGCCTGAAAATCTATTGGATCGATGTCCAGTTGCCACGGGCCCACCAGTCACTATTTATTGAATGCAGGCGCTATGCCATAGTAAATGGCGCGAAGT